TTATACTTTTTGCTAACTACTGAAGAAAGCAATATATAAAAAAATTTAACTAACAAAAAACAAACCATAAATTATTTCTTACAACATGTCAATACAATTAAAATGAAATTTCAAATCAAAAAAGTTAAGTTAACAAAAAAAAAAGAAGATATGAACTTGATATCTATGCTATTTATTTAACAAAATCAGTAAAAACAAAATAAATAAGAGAATAAAAAAAACTAAAGTAATACTTAAAAACTTAATTAACAAAAAGAATATAAATATTCAAGCTAATTATTTAAGATATCAATATTAAGAAATTAATTAACAAAAAAAATAAAACGAAAAAATAAGTTTTACAAAATATGAAAGTTAAAAACAAAATCACCTAAAAATATATTGACTTGATATTTGACTAAATACTTAAGAAATCAATATAAATTTTTTAAAACTATTATGTCTTCAAAATATCAATATTTCTAAAACAATTGTGTGTTAAAATAAAACAGAAATCAATATCAAGAGAGGTAAATTATCAAAGAAAAAATAGTATAAAGTAAAATTGGCTTGACTAACATAAAAAATTAACTAAAAAAAGCAAATAATGATATATACTTTTGAGAGAAGTCCACATAAAATTTAGAATAACCAGTTATAGTATTTTAGTTAAAATAAAAATTAATATAAAAATAAATTTAACAAAGAAAAAATATTTATGTAAAAGAGATTAAATTGATATATATGCTACCTATTTGAAAATATCAATAACAAAATAGATTAGTTAAATATATATATATATCTTTTAATTATATCAAACATGCAAAAAATTAGATAAGTAAAATAAAATATAAAATTACCATAAAAAGATATGTAAAATAACAAAAAGAACAAGATCTAAGAAGAAAAATAGTTTAAAATTTAGTTTCAGAAAATTCATGATTTCTAAAATATTGGCATTGACTATGAATAATTATATAAAGTTATAGTAGGTTATACAAGTTTCTCAATCAAACATATTATTTAAATTTACAAATACTAATAGCTTGGATGCGCCTGGTTTAAAAATTAACAAAAAAAAAACTACACAAATAACTTTACATTCAAAATATAACAAGTAATAAATTCTGATTTTTTATACATAGTTACTTCTTATAATTTAGCCAACATGAACAACACATGAGTAACACTTTCTAAAATTTCATTTAAATAATAAAGTATGACAAAGTTATGAATCAAATTCTAATTGGAATATATCTAGATAAACTATTCAAATCAAAACATGAATAAAACACACAAACGATAAAAAACAATGATAATGTGAAGACTTCACAACATCTTACATGTTTAAAAAAAATTATCAAATAGTTGACTGCAAATGAAACAGATCTTATAAACTGAATAGAGATATAACCTAAAATTTGTAGAAAGTCTGGTGGAGAAGCAAGAAGCAGTTTTACACGATTGTTGTAGTATCCTAACAAAAGTAAATTTGAATCAACATGAATCATATATTATATATGCATATGTACACAACATCAGTAAGATATTTAGTCAAAAACTAAATATTTAAATATATAAACCTTAAAAAAGAAGAACTATAGAAATCTCAAGGACACAAAACAAAACACCAAAAATTTAGTAAATAAATCATTTTCTAAATCAAACGTATCCACGTCGAGGTTAGATAATTTGTTAGGTGTCATTACTATGATTTTACTTAATAAGATTTATAATTTTATAAACAAAAAATAGAAAAATATTATATGTTATATTTTAATTTTTTATATATAAAAAGTTTATTTAAATATATTATAGTTTTGATAATTTAAAAAGATATTAACAAAAAAAATTAACCAAATTATTAATACAGACTCGTGCGTAGCGTGACTTAAAAGCCTAATATAAATAATAAGTGGATCTCTGAAAATTTGAGAGACTTTCTCCAGAGTCTTTTATATTTTGAGAACTCTATTTATTATTTATATTATTAGTTTTTTATTGTTTTGTAAGAGGTTATATGAGATCTTGCAATGTCTAATCCCCTATATATTAAAAGAGAAGCATTTTTAAAGAGAAACCTTAAATTTGTAGAATATTACAATGGTGCCATTTTGATGATGTGTCAACCTCATATTCATTCTCAGCTATTTTTTTAAAAAAGACTTAGATTACTAGACTAATTACATGATATGCCATTGTATATTTTAGGTTCATAAATATGTTATATTTTATTTTCTAAAATGAATTCAAAGGCAATAATATTAGAATTAATAATTTAATAAAATAAAATTTATTTAATACTAAATATAATATACACGAAATTTATTATATAATATTTTTATAATACTATCCATATATTTTTTATTATAAATTTATAATAAAATATATAATATTTTTTTAATATTTACTATTTTTATCATTCATAGTAAAATATATAATACTTATTTATGCTTACTACTTTTAAAAAAAATATTTTTATTGATTATTTATAAAACAAAATTCTTATAAAAACAACTGAAAAATTAAAAAATAATATTTTATTTTTCTCAAATTCATAACAAATATATAACACTTTACTAATGTTTACTAATTTTATTAGAAAATATGTTTATTAATTATTTATTAAAAATATTTTTATAAATACGACATAATAATTAAAAATAATATTTTATTTTTCTCAAAAATATGTTTATTAATTGTTTACTAAAAATATTTTTATAAATACAACAGAATAATTAAAGATAATATTTTATTTTCTCAAAAATCAATCAGAACAAATAAAAGAAAATCATAATGATTTTATTCGCATATTGTTATAATTATAGCATGCATGAAAATAACTGTAAAAACATATATAATATCTTTTAACAATTCATAATAATATATACAAAATATAAATTAAAAATATATGTTATTTTTATCACAAACATCAATTAAAAAGAAAATGATGAATTTTCAAAATTATTATGATATATATTATTTAATATTCAGATTTACTATATAAGGAAATATGATATATTTCATTATGATTTAATTTATATATGATTTTTATATGACAAATATGGTATATAGCATTATTGCTTACTTTTTTTGGCAAGAGATCATAATATGATAATATCAATATTAATTATTATTTTTTTAATTAATGTTTGATTTAACATATATAGTATCAAATTTTCATCAAGATTTGTTCATGTTTTTTTTCTTAGTTTGTCTGTTTTAAATCAATCAATTTAATTACTGTGAAAATTCTATAAATTGATAATATTGTAATTTCAATATTTTTTTAATTTATAAAATTATCGGTTTAAAACTAAATAAATTATTTATTAATAATTAATTAAAAATTATATTTGTTTTAAAAGTTAGTAATATCTTTAAATACTTCACTTTTAAATTGTAGATAAACCATAATATTATTTCAATTTAAAAAAAACAAATCATTATATATTCATATTTTAGTAAACTATCATAGTTATATTTTTATATAAGATTATTTTATGGTAATTATTAATTTATGATATTAATAGACCATATATTTATATATATATTTTTTAAAAAAATATTATCTTATCGATTTCTATCATATTTTGAATAAGTCCAATTTAGGACTTAGAAAATGTTTTAATTTATTTAACTAATAATATTAATAGATAAGTAACAAACTATTTAACTAATAGTATTTAATTATTTAAGAGTCAAAATTAATTAAATATGTACATAAATTATATATCTAAATCTTGGACATTGGTGAAAATAATGAATAATATCATCAATTATATGATATTGAAAATCTGTATGGTAATTTCATATTTTTTAACCATCTATATCATGTGTTATGCATGTTACTTAATTTTTAAATTAATATACATTACTATTATATTATCTTTGTATAATATTATATTAAATTTATATTAATTTAATTATATTATATTATATGATTTTAAAATTATATTAAATATAAATAAATAATAATTATTTTACTCTGCACAGGATGCAGGTTATTACCTAGTATATTGGTATTACGGAATTTATTTTCTACAAAAACTTGTGAAAAAAAGTCACTAGTACAGTGTATTTGTTTTGTTTAGGAAAATTTCCTAAATTGTATTTTTCCTGTTCGATCTGCCAACCACCTACTACACCTGACTTGTCTGCATTAACATTGGAATCTCAGAAAAGCGTACTATAAATAAAAAATTTCTCACTTCTTTCTTCACTCTCGTTCGATCTCTCTTGGTCTTCTCCGCCCCTCTCCGCTTCACTCCGATCTCTCCTCTCTTCAGGATTCATGGCTTCCATGGCTGCTGTATCTACTTCCCTCCAGGCTCGTCCTCGCCAAATGGTCTCTCTCTCTCTTCTTCTTTCCTTCTCCACCAATCTCGAATCTCCAGTCTTTTCTTTGCCGCGTTACATCTCATCTCGCTATAGATCTGATTATTTTCTTACTTTTCTTTCCTTCGCCTCTGTGATAGATCTCGATCCAGCTTTTTATCTTCTTCAATGGTAGATCTTATTGACGGAATCGTTTGCTCAGATCTTATTGTTGGAATGGCTCTATAATTTTAGTTAGTTAATTTGTTATTCATGAGCTTTTTATCTCGTCGATCTGATGAATAATTTGTTTATTTCTCTTATATCTGAATTTGCTTAAACTCTCTAACTTTTCGGGAGGAACAAGTTGAACGCTGTTAACATGGAGGATAAGTTCTTATATTGGTTTAGCTGCTACCATAAAGGATCAGTTCTACATAAATTTTCTTGCTTCTATTGGATTTCACTGGTTTTGCTATTTTGGTTATCTTATTACATCACAAAGGATTAGTTCTTATATAGATTTTGTTGCTTCTGTTGAGTTTCACTGGTTTTTCAAAAAAAAAAACGAGAAGCTTGTTTGATATTTTGGTTATGTTATTACATCTCAAGACCTCTTTCGTTTGTTTGCAGTGTAAATGATTTGCTTTTCATTTGGAGTTTTAACTTCTACTGGTTGATTGTTTTTCTGAATATGATTGCAGGCGGTTGCGGTTAATCATCAAGTTAGATGCTTTAGCCAGGGAAGAAGAAACAATCTTTCTTTTACACTTCGCCCGCGTCCTAGCCGCTTGAGTGTTTCTTGCGCTGTAACTCTCCTTCTTCTCCCATTTGATGTTTCAATACACGAAATCTAGTTACAGAAAATGATAATAGAGGGTACTGTCGTATTGGTTTGCGAATCTAATTAACCTCTCGAGCCAATGTGATTGTGTATATGATTATATTTATACTGAATTGTTTGTTTTCTTTATTATGATGTTTCCAACTTCCAAGTCACTTGTACATTCCACACTCAAAATGTAGTTACAGAAAATGACTGTTATATAATAGTAGTTACAGCCAATTAAACATCTGCAACAACGGATTTTGTTTGTGATTATGATATTTGGTAGGAAATAATATTAGACGTACCATGTTGCTATTTTGGTGGATTGCTTGATATGGTTGCAGATGACAATATAGATTTATTCTCCTTTAATTGCTGGTAAACAGGCAAACCCCGATACCGTGGACAAGGTGTGTAAAGTTGTCATAAAGCAACTCGCACTTAAAGAGGGTGACAAAGTTACGGCTGCAACCAAGTTTACTGATCTCGGTGCTGATTCTCTTGACACGGTAACTAAAAACCTTCTCATGTGTAATATCCATTGACTCATTGAATTTAACTCTTGTAATGCATTGTTTAGTGGACTAACTGATGCATACTTAATTAATCCCCCTTGAAACCACCAACGAGAAACGAAGACTGTGTCCTGTTTTCAAGCTCATATAGTTTAGATTGTAAGTTTATGAAGGTTTCCTATATACCTGTTTATCGTTTGTAAAACATCAATTGGAAATATAGCAGCCACAGATTTTGTGTTTATATTATGTTATTGAAATGCACATACCCATGACTCTTGTGTTTTGGTTTCAGGTTGAGATTGTGATGGGCCTTGAGGAAGCGTTTGGGATTCAAATGGTGGAGGAGAAAGCACAGGCTATCACGACGGTTGAGGAAGCAGCTGAGCATATTGAGGAGCTCTTGATGCACAAGGCTAAGTAGAAATCATTATCACATAACCAAAAATGGAAAAAAGCAAAACCCAAACCGGTATCTTGTTGTTTGGTTGGCTAGAGACCAAATTTCGTCTGTTTGAGATTTTTATGTTATTTTGGTCAAGTTATTACATGGCTTTGTATTTGACTTCTCTCTTTCTTCTTAAAACATTTTAGTTCCATCCTCCAGAAAAAGTTATCTAGTCCCCCTTTATATTGTTGAAAAAAAAATCATGAGTAATTTACGAATAAAGATACTTTCTTAAGTTTGTTTACGGCTGTAGTACTTTACATGTATGTGTTTTAGTAATGTGACTTACCAGTTTTACTCTTAATAAATCTAAGAGATGTCAAGAAATGTATGTGATAATATTGGGAGAGGGATTTATGTAGAATTTAAGAATTTGTAAAGCTGAGAGATTTTAAAATTTTTTAGTGGATTTATATGGATTCCTAGAATATATTGCTATGAATTCTTATTGATGGTTTATAATTCGCGCTACGATTAGTTCAGTTCTTTTAAAAGTATTATCTTTTAAATTATCAAAACGATAATATATTTATTAAAATTTATTTTATATAAAATAATTTAAAATATAATGTGTACTTTTCTCCTATTTTTATTTATACTATTTTAAATTTCCTATTATAATTTTTTTCTTTAAAGTTTATGTGCTTAAAGATTTAATTTTTTATCGAATGTCTTATTGATGTTGTGTACATTGCATATATAATTCATTATTAATGTTATTAGAAATTTGTAAACCTTCTTTATAGTTTCCATTGACCTTTAGTCACCTACGACAATATTATTTTTCCTCTGTCTCTCAATATTCCCATGTTATTCCCATGGTTTCCATAGGCACTCCTTAATTTCAAATTAATTTTGTTTTATTATTTTTTTTAACTTTACATCTTTTAATAGTAATGTTATATTTTATTTTAATTTATACAATTTTTTGTATACTTGATATACTTATGACTTATTTTTATTTTATTAAACTCTTTTATTATTGATTTTTAAAATATGTAGCATATACATCAAGTTAATTTCTTTTATACGAATGTTTTTTTGTTAAATTTTATATTTTTTATTAATTTTCAAGTTAATTTCTTTCTTTTAGATATTAAGATAATTTTCTTTTATGATATTGATTTTTGTTTTGTTAGTTTAACTCTTTTGACATTAAATTTCCATTTAAATTGGAGAGATACTATATTTTAGTTTTTTTTAACATAATTTTTTTTCTATTTGCTACTTAAGATTTTTCCATCTATGAAACGAAATTAATGTTATATTGTTTTTTTTTTAATTAATTTATAAGTTAGAAATTTTCTTAATCTATATTATAATTTTTAGCTTTTAAATTAATTTTTTTAGATTAACTATTGTGAATTAAATTTTTATTTAATTTTGAAGGATACTATATTTTGGTTTTTTTAACATTAATTTCTTTTGTATTTGTTACTTAAATTTTTTATTTTGATTTTTTCCATATATAAAACGAAATTAATGTTTTTAAAAAGAAAAATTAACTTTTAAAAGTTTTAATCAAATTTAACATTTTTGTGTTTGATGGAATACACTCATGTGAACCAATCATATTGAGTTTCTTCTTCTTAATCATACTTAACATTTTTATGTTTGATGAAAAAACGTTGATGTGGACCAATCAAATCGAGTTTTTTAATCCCATGTGGACGCCCTCAATGCACTATGCCTTCAATTTTTATATATTATATGATTGTTGATTTTCATTGACTTTTAAGGTAATATATATTATGTATATGCTTTAGAAAATTTCCAAATAAGTCATTTAACGTGATATATATAATATATATAATGACATGTTCTTCCTCATCGGCCTATTGCTCTTTCATTTTGTTCTTCAATCAAGCAAAAAAACAGGTAATTCTTTTGTTTTTATCATTAATTTATGTTTTATACTTGGTGTTTTATTTATGTTCATATGATTGTTCTCTACTCTACATATATTATTTTATGTTTTGTAAATTTGTGTATTATTTTTAAGTTTGATTTTTTTGTTTTTCTGTGTTTTTGAGTTTGATATTTTATGTTTGCATAATCTTGAAAATAGTTGTTAGATATTACATTGTTCTTATACTAACTATGATTAGTTTTTGAAAAAAATAGAATGGGTGATACTCAACTCAAAAAAAAAAAAATCAATATAATCAATGGAATCCAGAAGAAACAAAAGTATTGGTTGAGTTACTTGTGGAAGGAATTAAGCGTGGATAGCGTGATTCTTGTGGTTTGATTACCAAGTTAACCATGGAAAATAAAATACTACCAGTCCTCAATGAAAGACTTGGATGCCAAAAAACATATACAAAATATCAAAGCAGAATAAAGTATTTGAAAGTCCAATACCAAATTTATTTGGATCTTCAACGTAACAGCTCTGGGTTCGGATGGGATTCTGAGACAAAAAAGTTTACAGCTTCTAAAGAAGTATGGAGTGGATATTAAAAGGTATGTCTTTTTTTACATAAAGTTTTATAATACAAAAAATCGTGATTGTATGCTTAATCTATTTATTTTGTAATGGAATTTGACAGGCACATCCAAACCACAAATATATGCGATACGACTCTCATGATATGTTTGAAGATCTTCAAATTGTATTTGATGGTGCAACCGCCAATGATAGTAAGTCAGTTGGATTGGGTGATACTACTGATGCACCTACTTGCAGAGTTGGTGATGACCAAGTGAAAGAAACCTTGGTTTTTTGCGAGAGTGGCGATGATGGTAATGATGCATCACCTTTTTTAGACAAAAACCTAAAAAGGTCATGTCGAGAAATTTATCCCAAGAAAGAGATCTAGAACTAAAGCATGCAACAATTTAAAGGAGCTGAAGAGTGATAACAATGATTCTGTGGTCACAATGAGCAACAAGATCATTAGTATCATACAACAAAGAGAAGAAAGACAACAAAAGGAAGCTGAGCGAAGAGAAGCTGAGAAAAAGAAAAACAGTGTTTGGGATGCTATGAAAGAGATCACTAATTTGGATGAACATACCAAATTCAAAGCTGTTATCCTTATCTATTCCTTAGGAATGAAAGATGTCTTTGCCGATATGTTTCCAGAGGAACGCTATGGTTGGATCCAAGCCAATATTAGCTCCAAGTGATCTTCGCTTTAGTTATACACTTGATCTTTGTTTTGATTTTTCAGTTTTCTTTTTGATGATGTTTCAGTTTCTTTTGAGATAATTTGATATTTATGCCTAAACATTTCTGGTTTTGGATTAATATTTATGCGTTAACATTTCTCATAATACTATAGTTCACGTTAATCAATTTTTATAGTTATTTACTTTTGCATTGTTCATGTCATATTGTGGCTTTTGTACTATAGTCCACGTTAGTTTTTAGAATCATTTCTGAGTTTCTGTTTCGTGCTTTAGCAGTAGTTGTTTTACACTTTTATGTATGACATTGAAGATATTTTCTGCATTGATACTATAAATGTTTGGTTTGGATAGTGTTGACTTGGTTGATTGTGTTCCAACTTGCAGGTGTGGACCAAGGATGAGACGGATCGTTTTCTATTATCACGGACTGTAGAGTATTTACATGTAGTGGTATGGTTGGACTCTTATATTCATATATTTCTTCATAGCTAACTAAGAAGGAATCTTCTGTTCATATATTTGTCCATCTATCTTCGTCATGTTATCTAAAGAGAACTTCCTCGTGGTCCTTTTAAGTATTCTTATAGTAATAGAGTTATATTCTTGTAGATATCTTATCATGGAAAATGCCCGTGAAGAAGAAGCAGTCCAAATAGAAGATGACGAATCAGATTTGGACATTATGCTATTAATTGACACAATATCAAGAATGCCATCAACCTTGGAAAAGAGGATCAATGGACATGATGGCCTAGCCAAAGGTAAAGGAGAGACGATCTCCCATGGAGAACATATCATGAATAAAGGAGAGACTATCTTTCATGATTTGTTTTTTCTAGACCTCAATCCCTCCGTACATTCAAACTTAGCCAGGACTTGGAGAGCATACTCAACTCTTCTAGAGTTCACCTCGAAGAAGAATCAGTTCAAAAGGAGTTTATATGAAGAAGATATTGAAGATACAAGTTGGCAGATCTTCAATGAACCCGCTGGATACATGCGACCAGTAATAAAATCATTCCCACCAAACGACGACGAATCAAGCAACAAAACTGGATGTTTTGGAAACTTAACTCATCAGATAACCGCGGCGAATTGGATTCATACCAAACAGAGTTCAAACGAAGGAGTTATTCATGTTCAAAATCGGGTGAACTGGAGCTTACCCATATTGGACATACGAGCGGTCATTGGAGGTTTCCCACCATACCAGGAGGAATTAAGCTACGAACCGACTTGTTATGAAATCTTGATTCATCAGAGGACCAGGGAGAATTGGATTCACATCATTATCGGTTCTGATGTCAAAGATATTGAGTTTCTAAACCGGAGAATGCCACACTTGCCTTATTTGGAGTCTACCGAGTTTGAGAGAGTGCAAACATATCTTTGGCGACCAGGAGATAATCTCAATCATCTAGAAGACTCGAAAGTCGTCCTTAGCTGCACCAGAACTCAGAGGATCAGGTGGATTCTCTTGCTTGAATACTTTCCTTTCTCGGATGCATTCACACTTGGAATAGATATTCAGCAACGGCCCCTTCCCAATAATCTTGGCTGCGATTTGAAGACTTATTCAAGTAACCATAACCTTCCCAAGACGCCTAACATCTACCCCAAGCTGACCAGATACAAGCAAAGCCACGAGTTCCCTTATTTGGTCAAGTATTCAAGTCCCCAACAGCTAGATTTTTAAGACCACATCTTTTCATTAATTCTTTCTTTGTTTAATGTTTTAGAACGTTAGACTAGCTTTACTTTGGAGCATATATAAGCTCATTTCGTCATTTGTAAAAATCACCTTTCAATCAACCAAGAAAATATAAAGTTTGTTTTTATTTTTATTCAAAGAGTGTCTTTGTTTAAATTCTTGTCTTTAGATTCATTTGAGTGATTCATTTGTTTCTATTGATTCTTGGAATAGAAGTATTTGTGAGATTCAAGCAAGTCTAGTTCCAAAGGCTAGGTGAGTCAGTCATCCAAGGATTAAGAGAGTCAATCAAATTTCTACCACCATTGCTACCTTCAACCACTTCTGCCAATCAGCTTGTTGATCAGTTCTTGGTCACCTTTGTCCTAAGGTTGTGGAGTGATTCTCAAGCTTGTGTCATTTGGTATCAGAGCTAAAAGCTCCTACTTCCTATCTTTTTATTGTTTTGTTTTCAATTCAGTTTTTGTTTTATAAAAGGAAAATACAAAAAAAAAAGTTTTCATTTTCGTTCTTTGAGTTTTATAAAATTCTAAAACAAAAAAAAAAGTTTTAATTTTTGTTTTGTTATTTTCATTTTATAAAATTTAAAAAAACAAAAAAAAAGATTTTTTTTTTATTTGTTACTGATTTTGTTATATATACTTTTAAAAAAAAAGAAAAAAAAACTGATTTTAGTTTTGAGGACAAAACCTTTTGAAGAGTGAGAGAATGATACAATCCTAAAAATCAAGTCCTTGAGCTACACAATACTACACCTACCAAGACGCTACAATATGCATATATGGTTATTATTTTCCAAAGTGTTCATGTTGTCCACCAAAAGAGCATTCATACTTAGCAAGGAGATAATTCGTTTTCTAATAAGACGTAGAAGAGTGGTGCATGCTTTTACACGTGCATGGTCATAAAAGGAAGGAAGAGAATGACATAATATTACACTCCATTACTCACGTCTATCTTCCGGAAATTTGGAGAAGCAATCATCCGATGATCACCTCTTCATGATTGATTTAGTCATTATTAATTAAATATAGTACTTATTAATTTTCCTTTCATGTTTACACTAGAGTTGTATAAATATTTTATTTTTCATTGTAAAGAATATATACAGATTTTTGGAATTAAAAGAGAATTCTCTCTAAAGCTTGCTTTCTTTTGTTTATCTAAGTTAGATGGATTTCTTTTCTTAGTAAACTTTTGATCTGTCTCTTGTATGTGATTTCTTGAGGCTAGATTTGTGAATTTATCACATGGGCTTTCACACCTTTGAGTGGCGTTCTTCGATCCATCATTCATCAATTCGTTTATCATCTTCTGATCTTGCAAATAGAGTTGTACGGCTCTTTGTTTGATCCCATACTCGATCCACTTCACTTCACCAGCCATCACTTGACTTGAGCCGAAAGAGTTGAACAGCCAGCGGTTCTAGTTCCATCAGCCATCACAGATCCCCCACTTGGATCTTGCATCATTAATGTTGGGCAATATAGCTAGAGCTACTGTGAAAGATGCCAATCGTATTGAATGCCCTCTTCGTCGACCGATTACTAACATTGGCTATGCTTACATTCAAAGGGCTCTCAAGGAGGAACCTGAGCACTTTCGATCGCTATATCGTATGTATCCAACATCATTTGAGAAGCTATGTGATCTTATTAGAACCAAGACATCTCTAAAAGACACCCGCAACATATGCGTTGAAGAAATGGTGGCTACGTTTCTTCTCACCATTGGTCAAAGTTCAAAATATTGTTATACAATAGACACATTTAAGAGATCAGTATTTGCGACTAGCGAGAATTTTCATAAGGTTCTAAAAGCTTTAAATACCATGGCGCCAGATTTAATGGCGAGACCTGGAGTCACAACATGTGCAAAGATAAGAGAGAGCACAAGATTTTATCCCTATTTTAAGGTACACAATCATGATTTTTGTCTCAAGCATTGATATGTTTTCTTTACCTATTTTTTATTTTAGAGTTCAATTTTTATCATTATGGGATTGATCGGAGCTATTGATGGCACACATATTTTTGCAATGATACCAAAATGTGATGTGGCTAGCTATCGTAATCGTAAAGGATTTGTATCACAAAATGTTCTTGCTGCTTGCAACTTTGATCCACAGTTTATGTATGTTCTTAGTGAAGGGGAAAGTTCAGCTCATGATTCTAAAATATTAAATGATGCTTTAACAAGGAGCACTTCCAGATTAAAAGTTTCATAAGGTATATAGTTCATATAGAAATTACAAGACGTTTTTATTATATATAATTGACTTGGATCATTTGTTCACAATTTTCAGGAAAATTTTATCTTGAAGATTGTGGATTTGCAAATCGTCATAACTTCCTAGCACCATTCAGAAGTACTCGGTATCACCTACAAGAATTTATAGGTGAAGGTCATGATCCTGCAAACCAAAATGAGTTATTCAACCTACGACATGAATCTTTGAGAAACGTAATCGAGAGAATATTTGGTATCTTCAAATCTCGGTTTCTAATTTTCAAATCTCCACCTCCTTTCTCTTTTAAAACACAAGCAGAGTTGGTTTCAGCTTGTGCTGGATTACATAATTTTTTACGGCAACAATGCCGATCAGATGCTATTCCTGAAGAAGTGGCCAACGTAGACAATGAAGAAGATACTGATTCTGAAGAAAATGGAAATATAGGCATCCTTGTTACTCAGCAAAGAGAGTATGCTAATAATTGGAGAAATGATAGCTTCTAAAATGTGGGCAGATGCTGTGGGAACTGGAAGTCAACGTTGATGGTGAGAATGATTTTTCTTTTGGTTCGAAACTGTCCTGGTATTAATTTTTCTTTTGGTTCGAAACTGTCATGGTATTAATTTTTCTTTTGGTTCGAAACTGTCATGTTTTACATTTAACAATGCTTTGATTTGAAACTGTTATGCTTTGGTTTGAAACTGTTATGTTATAGCTATCAATCGATGCAATTATCATTATTTGGGTGTTTTTTTTTTCTTTGTATGTATGAATTTCAAAAATCTCAGGTATATAGCTGATATTTTGAAAGCTGAGTCTTATGAGTAAAACTGCATAAAATCCATGTTCTAATAATGTTAGATTTTAATACAATTAAAAAATCAATGATAGTTAGATTTTTTGAATAACAAAGGATTTTGGGTGGAATTTAAAAGTCTTTAAACCAATAACAATGGATTTAACTAAGATTTGAAGAATCTAGAAACCAATAATGATTGAATCTCAAAATTCTCAAATTCTACATAAATCACTCTCCCAATAACCCCCCCTTAGACCATGAGCATATATGGTCTCTTCAATAGTTTCTCAAAAAAATAATAATAAACTAGGTAATTGATACACTCTTGTGACTCAATTCCTTTTGAATGTAAAAATCAGATCATTGTGGCATACAGAGTTATTAATCTTTAATGGGACTAGTATAGAGGAGATGCAGAAGATTTGCTTAGAGAAACCTAAAATTGGGGTTTTAACAGACTAATACTAAGGGTTCAAACAAATGCAAACATAAGAACAAGTAACCAAACTAAAAGCAAACTCAAGCAAGAGACTTAAACTCAACTGAACTCAAGAACATAGTACTAAAACAGAACAAGGTTCTAAGATGGGGGAAGTGACACTAGGATGATTTCAATGGTTATTCATGATGCAACAAACAACAAAGATAAGCTATTTCTTATGCAAAGAACATCAATACTAGACTAATTCAATCCCTTGACAATAATCGTTTTACCAATCACAAATCCTAACTCATTTCCAATTGTGGAATCATAACTAACAAACATTAAGAATCAGTTTTACAAAGCATAATAAACATTTTAAACATTTAATCCCTTAGGCTAAGAATGCAAATCATTTAATCAGCTCACTCAGACATTTCATCAAACACTTGCGATGCAGAGAAATCCTATGATCTAGAATACCTTTCTCAAGGCTAATCTAGCATTAAAAACACTAATCAAGCAAGTAAATGGAAGAATTAACATCAAAACATCACAAATCAACCATCTAATCATCCCATCTCAAAATCTTAAAAAACTACTCACTAATTATCATTGAAACCATAAGAACAAGATCAAGCATGATTAGAGAAGGATAAATAATAAAAGACAAATGCAAATACTTAATTAAAATGATCTAAGATCAACAAAATTCTCAAAGAGATTACAAAAGGAAGAGTTTTCTTTTTGGAACTGATAAAACTTGGATAAAAGAACGATAGCCCAAATATTTTTAGGTTAGAGCTATTTATAGGAAAGGAGAGTAAATGAAAAATTCAACAAAAATTCAACACTCGGACTGGTCTATACCGAGGAAAGACTGAGTTGTTATGTCGGTATGTTCTCCTCGGTGCGTTTTGATGCTTGTACGAGACGTGTTGGTAGAATCGCCGTATCTCTTCAACCACTGACCAGAATGATTTGATTCTAACTCTATTGGAAAGCTAACTCGATTCTCTTCAATTTATATGAAGGACACTGAGGCTGAATCTCACTAGAAGAACTCCGTTCGGGTCGATCAATCGGGCGGTATGGCTGCATCGTAGAGGGAGAAGGTGTTCTCCTCGGTATGGGTGTACCGAGGAGAATCATCGGTGTATGACCAGGCATTCATCGGTATGAATCACCAGCACATCGGTGTACAGCAGGCATTTCCTCGGTATGAATCGTACCGTGGAGAGACATAGTTGTTCTCCACGGTACACTTCGGAGGTGCAGTTTCAAAACGGGCTGTCTATGGCGTCTTCTTGAAATCGCCGTATCTCTTGAAATCCGGGTCCGTATGACTTGATTTCACCACCATTGGAAAGCTCACTGGATCCTCTACAAATTTGATGAAGGATGAAGAGGCTGAATCTAAGTGAAAGGCCTTCGTCCGGATCTATACATTTCGCACATCCAGTTGCACCGTGCAGAGAAAATGTGTTCACTACGGTTCACCTCCACAGTATGAGTCTTGGACGAGTTTTTCCAATGCTTTCAGCTCAGTTCTTCTGGTCCACACCATTCAACATCTTCCACTAAGTCTCTTTAGCTCCAAAGACACCTGAAATAGACTTAAAACAAGATAAAATATGCAATGCTTATCCTAAACGCAAACTAAGTCTAATTTAGATGGATGGAAGATACTTTGGACAATCTAGATGATGAAATGGTATGGAAATTATACTAAATGAAGTCTAATATGATGCAATAATGCAAGTTATCAGTAATAATCCGCACTATATGCAGGGTGAAATAATTAAAATTTATTTACATTAATATAATTTTAAAATCATATAATTGATTTTATTTGTGTTTATATAATATTATGCTATAATATTAACAATAGATGTAACATTGACAACATAATATAGAAAAAATACTATGCAATTTGCAAATAATACAGCTGGGTAAAAATTTTGAAATCCTCATATAGATTTTCTATACCATGTGATTGATGACATGATTCAACATTTTTACCAATGCTCAAGCTTTGGGTATACAATACTTGTGTACAATTTTTTTTTTTACACTGGAAAAATATATGTTTGTTATTGCATCCAGATAATGTATTTAGATACAAATGATCAGAGATTATTTTTTTAAACTCTATCAATTCACCATGTGGATTTTGCATTTGGATTCAAAATCAATTATATCTTAAAAATTTGGATATTTGAAATACCAAGAAAAATAGAGTTTGAATGAAACATTTACATCATCTGAATAATCAAAAGACCAAAATACTCTTTAGTATGATATAAACCATAAATTTAACTTTTCTTGTAAAAATATAAGATTGAGGTTTTCTATTGAAATCATAAAATCGTATTTTCCCGTTGAAAAGATAAAATCACGTTTTTCTCTAAAAACGGGATCTCTCATCAAAACTTTGAAATAGCATTTTCCACCAAAAGCAGAAATTTTTTCTGTTAAAATTGCATACCTGTATTTTTCTACAAAAACCGAAGTCATGTTTTTCCCAAAAACACCATAAAACTATGTTTTACAGCCAAATTTCTAAAATCACGTGTTTCTACCAAACATGCAAAATCACATTTTCCCGCCAAATCCGTAAAACTACATTTTCTGGTAAACCCATAAATCTGCATTTTCCCGCCAAAATCGTGTTTCCTACCAAATCTGCAAAATTATGATTTCCTGCAAACCCCGTGAAACTAATTTTTCATGAAAACCTCGTGAAACTATATTTTTCCATCAAACATCAATAAACCCTGCTTTTCCTGCCAAATTCGCAAAACCGCGTCTTCTCACAAAATCTGCAAAAATCATATTTTTTCGTAAACCTCGTAAGATTACAGTTTCCGCCTAACCGGCAAAATTGTGTTTTCGTCAAATCCACAAAACTGTGTTTTCTGTAAAACTTTTAACATTGTATTTTCTCTTAAATCCCGTAATACTACATTTTTCACTAGACCCGATAAACCGTATTTTCTCACCAAATCTGTAAAATCGTGTTTTCCGTAAAATTTTTATAATTGCATTTTCCGCCAAAACTTGTAAATCTGTAAAATCTGCCAAAACTAATAATCATATTTTCCATCAATATCATAAAACCATCTTTAATTGCCAAATTTCCGAAATAGCGTTTTCAAATCGTGTGTGCCAAAATCCTAAAATTGCTATTTTCGCTAAAATTGTAAAATCGTTTTGAGTATAGCTAGAAAAAGTTCAATTTAAAAATATATACTTTTGATGTTTTGAGATTTTTTGCATCCATATTTTTTCATAAATTTAAAAACAAACAATGTTTTATCTGGATATTGGAATATAAAAGCTAGTTAAAAATAAATGTCTAAATGATGCATTAGAAAGTTGAAATTAGAAAAGTATCTATTATATAGTTGTGACACATCATAATAATGACACTACTGTAAATACTTACAAAATTAAAATTATTTTCTAAAAATGCTTCTCAATTAATATATAGAGGATATTGTTTCAATTTAGCATTTATTAAATTCAATGATTGATTGGTAAACAGTTCTTCAATTTTTAATTGAGTAATATTTACTATATGTGGTAGATTGAATTAGAAATAAATATAATAAACTCCAAATTTAATATCATATTATTAATTGAAAAGAAAATTGGATTGTGGTTGAGAGTTATAATAGTTGAGAACTATTTGCCCCTTATATAAAAAGACTTTATTTACCCTTAATGAAATTAACAAATTAATATAATCTAACTTTTAATTAATTTTCATTTTTTCTGAAATCTGAATTTCTAAATCCGAGTTTATATCATAAAATATTCAGTTTACTAAAAAAGTAACTAGCATAAATTACAAAAATTGGTCATACTTATTTTTTTTAACTAATTTTAATTTGATTGTTTAAGTTGCTAATATTTTTTACTAACCTAATTGATTTATGCAGTCACAAGTAAAACTCTGAATTTATTAAATCTTTTTAAAATTATATATATTAATCAATGTTAAGTTGATATGAAATAAGGATTCTTTGGTTTTGGTCATTTTAGATTACTATTTATTTTTTAATACAAACTTTGAATATCATTAATCTTAATCTGCCAATTTACACCAAAAAAAGAGAATTATTTATCGTGTTTGATAAATGGAACAAAACAATAAAGTATACATATAAGTTTTTATCGGATAATATAAAAGATATTAGAAAATAAGATATAAATAATATATTTTACTTTGTCACAAAAAAATAATATACTAATAAGAATTGTATTTTTTTAAATATATTAATTTTGGTTTCGAATAATTATAAAATCTGATTT